GTTGATATGCTTTTTGTGAACAGTTATTTTGTAGACAGATCTTCCAAATAAATTCTTAACTGCTGACTTAAAACTGCGTAGACAGAGACAATCCCGTTCCTTCCAAAGGGATGACTTAGGTATGCCCACAATTATGTCATAATTAAGGTCTTAAGTCCCAATGCCTACCTAGCCAATACTGAATGAATGTTCATTCACAACCTAAGGTGCAGCCAGTACTAGTTGATAGTGCAAGTTTGAAATGCTTACAAATGATCAGTTCATTATTTTTGAAACAAATTTAGTAGCTTTTCTTTCAACAAACAAAACAGTAAATTATTACCTAGAAAATCAAGAGGTACACTTAATTTGGTCCACGGAGCTCTTTTCCCTCCATTTCAGTAAGGTGTATTTCCTGAAACAAATAAAAAAAGAAGCTTGGTAGAAAAAAAAGTATCCGTTTTCCTTTTGTTGGATTGTACAATTATCTATTAAAATTGTCTCTTCTTAACAACTGGTCCCTCTACAGAAGAGGTCCCCAATCCCATGCTGTGGCCCACTACCAGGCCGCGCAAACAGTGGTGCTCGCACATGTGCATGAAGCTCCATGTGTTCACCACTGTCCAAGCCAGAAATATTGGGAAACGTTGCTCTGGAGTGTTACATCTACTTGCATAAGTAGACATTTTCTTGGATAAATCAGAATGTCTATGAGCAAAATGTTAACTGGCAGTCTTGATTTCTGCGTGAAGACAGCTGTGGTTCGCTGGGGTGGGGAGCAAGCACACAGACTCAAAAACAGTACTGCTTGTTGAACATACATACATAAACTATAAAGTCCTTAAACCCCATGACTTCTGACTTCGTTTAAAATACAGATTTGTAGAATGAAGTTCTTAAAATAATCAACCTCGGCATTATTGTTAAAGTTAGGAATATTATTTTTTTTAATTTTATATATATATATATTTTTGGGTGCACTTTAGAGGGCATTGACTTGAATTCTTCAGACTGATACATTAGGGTTTTTTTTTTGTTGTTTTTTTTTTGTCTGCTGCTGGCTCCAAATTCTTGCTGCTTTGAAATAAGCATATAATGAAAAGCAACAGCAAATTAATATAGATGTTTGTTGTGCAGCATTATAGTTAACATCTCCTTTGTAAGAGAGTATTATTTGTTGTTGGAAAATTTAATACACTCCCTGTAAAAGAAAAATGGCATTCTGTGAGGTAAAACACATTTATGTATAGAATCCAGTTTCTTGCTGATAGGAAACAATTTCATATTTTTTTGGGACAAGTTCTTACAACTTAATGTAAATATGTGCAGAGTAATATCTTACCTTCAAAACTGAGTTGGGAAGATAAACAGCTGCTTTAACAAACTGCTCTATTCTTTTTTTTTCTTTTTGCATTGAAGCGTCTGTAATTCAATAAAGATGTAACTACATTTTGTCAGTAGTGTTTTTAAAAATTATTTTAAGTATTATCTTGGAAGCTAATACATTGAGAGGTACAAGTTGAAATGTTGATAATTTGTGAGCAGTAGAGTCATATTCTGGAAATTTTAAAGTAGCCTAAATGAAGTGGGATGTCTAGAGCTCCTGTCCAATATTATAACTTTTTTTAATATGGTCCCTACTCCCTATTCTCTAAGCACATAGGGTGGGTTTTAATACACTCGGTTCCCTCTTTGTAAAGCTTAAATATTAAATTTGAAGGGCACCAGTTCATGTGGATGGTCAAACCATTTCATACAGATATAAATTCCCTTTTTAAAATTCTCAGTTCTGCTATTGTTTTTCTACAATTAGAATTTTGAAAGTCAATATTGTAAATAGCAATGTGCCACTGGACAAGAATATTGCCCTCAGCTCCTATAGCAAGCATTTATGAAGGTCATAATTTACTGTTTTTTTCTGTTACTGGCATTTGATTTTTTTCCTCTATTCTTAGGTGGACCAATGAATTTATTTTGTTACAATGTTTTTTGAGTACTTAGTTTCTTGAAGTTACAAGCTAATTCAGGGGTCCCCAAGCTATGCTGGCTGGATAATTCTGGAAGTCCACGAGTCTTAAAGTTGCCAAGTTTGGAGACCTCTGAGCTAATTTATGAATATGCTACAAATTGAGCAAACTGGTTCTACAATAAGTATTAGAGGAAAATATTTAGGATTCCTTCAGGCTTACACTGCTTAAATTTAATGGCATGTTTTGAATGCCGTTTCACTCTTTTCTGAATGAAAAGAAATGGATATGGTCTATTTAACCTTTTATTTCAACTCAATACACTTTCCCTCACCACCTCCTCAGAACAGGGAGTTTGAAGATTGGGGTTAGGACGCCCAGGGGAGGGGGAGGTCCTGAGCAGCCTAGAGTTGGGTCATTAAAAAAAAAAAAAAACACCCGATCAGTCTTCCTTGGACAGAGGGACAAATCAATCAGAACAAACTCTTGGTTTTGCAAGCTTATTACAAAACTTGTTTTATTATTGTAAGAAGCTGTTTGACAATAGCCACAGTGTTTTTACTCTTTTACAAAACAACACCCTGCCTAAAGATATGATATACCATTGTCAAAACACAGTACAATCTTCATGTAAAAATGTATTTATATTTCGTATTTCCCAACTTTCCCTCAGAGGTGATATGCCTAATAAGGACTTGAACTCTTTACTGAATCAGAATTGTCTTTAAAAGATTTTGAGCCTAGCTCACATCTCTCTCCATTTTCCTGGGCTCAAAAAAGCAAAGCAGGGGAGAAGTCACCACTTTTCCTATTTCTGAATAATTCATCACCTGAGAGAGATGCTTTGGGGAAAGTGGTGGAGCCTGTTTTAATAGGCTCTCTTCTGGCGTGTGGGAGGATATATTAGGAATTATGGGAGAAAGGCTGAGTCAAGGGATCCAGAGGAACCGGCCTATCACATCTCCGAGGTTATGTGTTCATTCCTTCCTAATAGGCTTCAGGTAAGCACAGGTTGACACTATTTCAGCAAAATGTGGGACAGCAATTATGTTACACACATCTGGTTTGATCAAGAAAGCTCGCTCTACTTTTCCATAAATGAGAAACATGCAAACATTCCTGTCAGAGAATAAGGTGCAGACATCCATTTGTCCTTGGAAAAAATTACCTTGGTTTCTTTTGTACCCCGCATTCCACCTAATTCTGAATGTGAATCAGGCTTGCATTGATTTTTGCTATTTAATTGCCCAGCACCTAGCTGACCTTGGCTTGGACTTTAAAAAAAAAACAAGTGTGGTTGAATCAGACAGATAATTTTGGTCCTATTGTTAATTACATTAATGTATCTATAAAGTTACCAGCAATCAAATGCAGCTCCAAAAGATCATCTGTGCGCAGGTATAGTAATTAGAGTCACAAAAGGAAGAATTTTCTCCAGCTTTCAAGAACTGATGTTGACTTTAAAGAAATCGCACATGTAATTTGAAAGACCCACCAAGGAGGCTTCATGCTCATCGCCTGCTGGGATACTGCCATATGCTCTCGTGTGTGTCGCCCTTTGAAGGCTATGCAAAACCTGCAATTAGTCACTGGCTGGTATGTTAGCACAATATTGTCGCCATAACTATACATACATACGTGTATATAAAAGATAAAAATATAAAGAAAAGCTGTAAGTACAAGAAAGGGAAAAAGGAAATTAGAAAAAAAGCTTGCAATCTTTTACAGTCATAAGTAAAATTATAAATGTACCCTTTATAGTTAGAACTTTTCTATTTTATCTCATTGAAATCTAAAGGGACTCCTTTAAAGTTTCTGAGTCGGTGTATATATTTGAATCCAGAGTTTTTTTAGCTTTTTTTAATCTGGTAGAAGAAAATGTGCACCCAACATATAAAATGCCTGTTCAAATTTTCACAAATTCTAACATAAATACATAATTTGAAGTCCCTTTATATATTTTAGACACTTTGTCTGGTGACCTATGCCAACAGATTTTATAAAAATTCTCTTCAACATAGTGCAAATATAATGGTCCATCTTTATATAAAATTTTATTCCACTTTATCATATGACTTTTTTTTTCAAATTTCAATAAAATATACACATTTTAGCAATTGCATATTCATAATTTGTCCACAAGTCTACTTTAAACTCAAGTGTTAGAATATTCAAACCATATTTTAGACATTCTTACAGTTGAGTATGACTCTATCCCTCTGCCACCAGTTGATTTTATTTCACATTCTTAACATTCTAGTATCTCATAAAGCCATTTGTTGTTTCTTATTTCTCATCCTTAAAATGCTTCAAAAGTTTTCAGGCACAACTAGATTTTGTATTTATTTCTCACAATATGGCACATCTAACAATGAATTTCTAAAATCCACATTAACCTTGACTTTCTCATAGCACAAATATCCGTATCATCCAAATCTCAGGTCATGTCCTTTTAACTCCAAAAGCCTTTTCCTCAGTATTACCACTCATCCAAACCAAACAGCAAGCTTCAAAATAGTTGCAGATCAGGATGAACCCCTGTATCATACAGATGTTTTATGGCTGTTGGATGACCACTGGTTATTGAGGCGTTACCATGTGCAATTCAAAGTGCTGTTTTTAATTTCTATACCAGTGTTTTTTAACTTGCCAATTTGAAAATAAATGGCTTTCAACTCACAGCCAGCATGTCAACACTACTTGCTCCATTACTATATTTTTAAATTGACCACTATGTGCTGATTTTATCCCTTTTTATCATGTTTTTTAATGATGTAAATTGAGAATCATCTTTTTTGGGGAGAGTGGGGTGTCTGACAACACATAATAAATTGGAATCCCAACCTGTCTATAACCACAAAACTTCTTGAATCATTTTCCTTCCCTTAATCCTCAGTTGTAGCAGGAAGAAAGGGAAGAAGGCAAACAGGCTATTATGCAGAAACTGTAGTTGCTTCTTTCAGCTGGGAATACTCAGGCACTTACAAATGATGCAAATTACATGGGTGTGGTAAATGGTACATGTGAAACCTTTAGTGGGTGTTAAGTACTCCCCATCTTGTAGCTTCTTTTGGGGTTGCTTATTCTAGAGAAGAGCTGGCAGGCACCATCACTGAAGAGTTGGTTGGCAGGAGGACCATGGAAGGCTCGTGGAAGAATTGGGTATTGCTGCTGGTGTTCTCTCTGGCTTTCTATCAAGGTAAAGAACGAGTTTTTGTTTCATTCTTGAAAGGAAGCAGAAGTGTTTTATGTTACTAGAAGAAGAAAAAGTAAAAGGCAAAAAGTGATGTGGCTAGTTTTGATTCACCTTCAGGGAGAGAAGCACACTTGGCTTGGCTGAGAAATGGGTAAAGTCCACTTAAAGGCTAGCTAACCCTTTCTTTCTTATATGTAGAGTAGTTATTCTGTCCTAATCCTAGAACTTTAATGGTTTCATGACAAAAAAGGTGGTTTTTGTGGCCTAGACAGAGTTGGTAATATGGACAGCTGAACATCAGGAATAAGTTGGGCTACCCTTCCTGTGTAGAAGTGAGGTGGCGGCATTTTTAAAGATTGGATCTTGTGCAAACTGAACAATGATACTACTATTGAAATGGGAATAGCATTTAACTCTTGAAGCATGGAGACACACTCCAACATCTGTTCTTCATGTGTAGTCCAATTGTTATGCAAGATTAAATTTACTCCAAAAATATTCTCAAAGCTGCTGTTTGACCCACAACTGATGTGTAGCCATTAGGAACAATGCTTAAGAATAAGAGTAAATTGTAAACAGCCTTGCATCTTATTTTCACTTAACAAATAGAGGAGGGAATATCCCTTTTTATTCCTTGTAGAATAGATGTCATCTTGCCTTTGAATCTATTCTGGCAGATATTTTGAATATGAGAAATTTCTTGGCTAAAGACTATTCTTGCAGAACCTGTTTTCAGAGTTACAGTGCATTTTCATTTCAGAGCAAGATGTGCACATCAACCAATTTTAGGTGTATCTAATAAATGTGTGTTGTATGATACTCCTTCAGTATCTTTATTACTATCAATACATACAAATAGTAAATGAATGATTGTTTGATTTTATTGTAAGGACATGCAAAGAAGAGGGTTTCTTTTTTCAACAATTTTATTGATTATGTGTATTAGATTAGGAGATAAAACAAACAAAAAAAGGAAAAAGGGGCAAGAAAAAAAGATAAATAACTTCCTGCTTTGTCTCAGTAAGTATAAGTAACTTTAACAACTTGCCACTATTTCTTAAAATAAAACAATCTCTTCATCCCTTCATCACCATATATCATTCTCCATAAACACATTTTTAAAATCTCATGCCCATCCTAATAAAGTCCATTAAGGCTTACCAGAAATAACTTATAAATAGATCTAATAAACTCACATGAACATTTCTCTTGCCTTTATATCTCATTTTCTATTATTAAGCTAATCTTTCAAACTTTATTGTTCAAATCTATCAGATAACTATTTTAACCTTAAATTAGTTAATTTAAAATGCAGCAAATGAATTCTTGCCATTAGAATTTCTTATAAACAAAGCCTAAAGCATCATTATCCACTCTTGGCCAAAGAAAATGCATTAAATATTGGTCAAATAAACCATTTTTATACTCTTTCCCCTTGCTCCCAGCAATTTTAATCTTTAGTCTCTTCAAATAGCGTCCAACACTTGGTTTCTTTTCATTTTCTCTTTGCCTCTTCTGAAAATCATTGGCCATCATAAATCTCTTTTGTAAATCCAAAATATAAAGTTTATTTTTATGGTCTTATTATTTGTACATCCTTTTTAGTTAATAGATCGACCACTTTCATTTGTATATTGTTTTTTTTTCTGTATCCTTCTTACAGCTTGTCATTTTTAAGTCCACATTTGAATCAATTTCAGTCTTTCCCAGTTATTCTTCCATAGCATGATCTGTTGATAATGGCAGAAATCTTTAAAACTAGTTTGTGAATCCATTGTTCACAAATATCTCAATACGTCCATTGTTTCATTTCCTTTTGGTGACCTCTGGTCACCAAAAATCTGGCTGCAGATTTTAGCTGTAATGTAGTCCCTGGTTTTTTCAGGGAGGTGTTCAATTTGCCATGTACTCACTGGAAGTCCCCCAAAGGTGAAGGTTTCTAATCTTTCCATGTACAAGTGCTGATGGCAATAGTTTCTTTAATAGGTTATAGTGTTGAACTCAGAGGTGGGGACATTTTTATATTATTCCATGAATTTACATGATTGATTTATGCTTTGAATTACTTTTTATTGCCCCTCTTCTGATACGTGTCCCACACATGTAACTGTAAAGCTAACAGTTATGAAGACTTAAGCTGTATAGATTGATATCCTGAGGATTTGCTTCAATATATTGTGTCGTTGTGAAACTACTCTAAACCTATGGATGGATGGAAAATAGAGGCTCAGAACCCAGCATCTGAAGATGAGGAGTACATTACATCCCACTTCATAATGATGCAGTAACCTGTATCTAGTGCTGTAACTTCTATAAGGTTGCTGGGTCTTGCAAGGAACTAGAACTTTAAAGGAGTTGATTTCTTCCTGCATGACCAGCCACCATTAAGATGTGCTCAGTATAGGATTTAGGACAGTCTGTACTTTTATTGATCACTAGTCACTTGCAAAAAATAGTCACTAGTCACTTTGCAGAATATTAGCTGTGGTTCAAGTACTGATAAGTCAGGAGAAAGCAGGAACCACTAATTTTCATTCCTTAGTCATCTTAGGCTCAGTAAGATCATTAGAAAGAATAGAGGAGATTTACAAATAAGCATGGACATATACAGCTCCTTCACCATCACTGCTGCACACAGCCCTCAGGTTTGGAAATGTTTCCAATCATTTCAACTAGACCTTCCATTGCTTGTTCATTTCTGTTCTCTCTTGGCTTCTCAAAATTCACACATCATAACACACCCTTTCCCGTCTATGCTTGGTAGGGGAACAAGCCCAAGGGACTGGTTAAACAGCTTGCCAAGGTGACCCCCTTTGTGTGAATGAAGCCAAACTGGATCTGAAGTCATCTTTAATGATTTAGCTTTCTACAACAGACTCAAAGTAGAGCAACCCATGGCCTGTGATTCTCAACACCTTTCATGTTGGCACCATAATTTCAGCTGTAGTCTTGATTTCAAAAATCTACTTTCAAGATCTGATGAATCACACCAAGGCTTCTGTAATACTGCCACCCTCTTCTCTGGAGCATAGGCAGGGCATTATACCAAGTAGTTTTTCATGCCTAACTTGCCTTGAGGAAGACCTGTAATAGGAAGTGTGTATAATAGTCATTCCTAGGATCCTGGGAGTTACAGAAGGCACACCCCAACCTCCACATTATTGCACCACAGCCAGATACATTGCTTAGAAACCCTATGAGACTTCTCCTTGCCCCTAGGAGCTCTGCATATTCACATACAAAACATGACACAAATCAAAGAAAGCTTGGAAGTTGTATAATCAAATTTTGCTCTGAAAACAGCAGCAGCAACAAGTATAGTTTTTGTGGGGAGGAATCAGGATATTGAGTGTTCATACCCTCTTCTAATAAAATGTAAAAGCATTGGTAGATAAGTTGGCTTTCCTATTGTAGGGGGTAAATTTACGCTCATGATAAGTTCACTCCTTTACTGCTACATTTTGAATCTAAATTCTTAGTACATGATTTTGAGGGTCCATGTAACCTGAAAGCAGAAAAAGACTAACTTGAGAGAGTGGAAAGAGAGCAAAAACCTTGCGATGCAATTCAGGAATATAGGAGTGATGAATTTGTACTGTATAATTCATATATCTGTAGGCTTAGAAGAGGGCAGGGCTTTTTCCTCCAGACCTAATAAATATTAACATTCCTAACACTCATTTCAAGTTTATGTATATAAACACACACATGCATATGTATATTGAATTCTGCATAGTTCAGACTAAACCCACTTGCCCAAGGCCTAAGAAGGTAGTATCAAAATACTAATTCTGAAAGCAATTACGTTGATAAAAAGGAATGAGCTAACAACCTCCTTATTCAGTAAGTGATTCTATGAACTTACCAAGGAAATCACCTTTTTGTCTTTCACTGAGATTCATCCTGTCTGTGTCAAGTTAAAAAAAGAGCATATTGATATTTTACCTCGTTCTAACTCCATGCTCCAAATGTTGCTAAAAGAACAGGAATAACATATCCCTGCTACAAGAGATGGTGATGGCTTAAAAGTGAGTAAAACCAACATCTCTGGATAATCTCTAGCACATAAATTCCCTCTGAACTCTGAACGATAGCCAGAATCCACTGCAACTTCTGCCATTGATATGGAGATATACATACAGGTAGTTCTCAACCTAGGTCCCTAATGGAGTCTGCCCATTATGGTCACAAGTTGTCAGGGTCATTAAATGATGCTACCATGTGATCATCTTGCTTAATGACCTCACCCCAATGCAATTGTTAAGCAAAGCATAGAGTGCCTTGGATCTGAGAGGGCTGGCACAAGCCCAGGCCTGCCTACCCAGGCCTCCCAAAGCTTCCCTACAAGCAGGGTTGCCACCTGGCCGTTTTTCTGGCCAAATTCGAGAAATCTGACTGTATTTCTATCTGCTTGGCTGTGAAAAAATGATGTCTCCAGCCAAATTTATTTGGCCGGAAATTTGGCTGTACGAAAGTTGCTTGGCCGTGAAATCGGCCAGATGGCAACCCAGCCGCTCTCCTTCCCTCGCGCATGCGCGTCACCATGAGCAAAAGGAGGACAAGCGCATCCTCTGGCGCTCTCCTTCCCTCACGCATGCACAAAAAATAATTTGGCCAAATTTGGCTGTATTTTGACTTGAGTTTGGCCGCAGAGCCAAACTGCGATCTGGCAACCCTGCCTACAAGCACCCCTTGCTCTGTTTTCCATCCCTCGGGAACTCCACAGGACTTGGGCCTACTTTCTCCCTCACCGGGTCTTACAGGCCTGAGGTCCGCTTTCATCCACCCCACTGAAGCCCATACCTCCTTGCCACCCTTTGTCACAAATCCGTCACTTACTCTTCAAAAATCTCTGAAGCTCCATAGAATGCGTTGGTGCCTAATGAAATTAGCTGCCATATTTGGAGCGGCTACAATTCCTTCTAACTGCTCTGAAAATGGCGGCCGCCGCCTCCAGGCCGTAGCCACATGACCTAGGACACCAAAGGATAGAATGGCCTGCC